GAGTTCATCCTTGAAGGCAACAACATTGAGCTTGTTTCACATTCAGCTGCTTTGAGCCGGCCAGCTACAACAGTTAAACAAGCACACAGTATGCGAAAACTTGGGGATGGCATCTATGTCCCTGAAACAAGAAGAGCTCAGCGGGCTGATGAGTAACATCTAAGAACTGTCCAACTGTAGAAACAAGATCGAGGATTATTAAGGTCAATCTGTGATATTCTAATGAAGCAACAAAAGACTTCTATTAAAAATATATTGTTTGTGGCCAGGCTCGGTGGCACACAACTGCAATCCTAGCACTCAGGAGGCTGAGGCAGGAGGTTCGCCGTGACTTCGAAGCTACCCAGTTTACACAGTGAGTTTTGTTTGTACGTTCATCAGCTGCTGGACATGGCTTGTTGCCACTTTTTGGCTGTTATGCATAATGCAACTATAAATACGCATGTACTCGTGTTTGTGTACATGTTTTCAGTTCTTTCATACCTAGGAATAGAACTGCTGAGTCATAGTTGTTCAACTTTATGAGCACAGTTTAAAAAAATTGTTTTCCAAAGCAGCTGCATAATTAAATTCTTACCAGCAAAGGTTCTAACACTTTCTAACACTTGTGTCTTTTGACGACAGCCATCCTAGAGAATTGTGGATTTGCATCTCCCCAGTAACCCGTGATACTGAGCATCTGTTCATGTGCTTACTGGCCATTTATATATCTCTGAACAAATGTTTATTGCAGTCCTTTGCCGTTTTAAAATTAAATGATCTCTGCATTGTTGAATTTTAGGGTTTTTGTTTTGTTTTTTGAGACAGGGTCTCACTATGCAGTGCAGGCTGGCCTTGAACTCACTGTGTGGCTCAGGTGGACCTGGAACTTGCAGTGATCCTCCTCAGCCTCCCAGGTGCCGGCATTTCAGACATGGGCCACCGTGCCGGCCAGTGCTGAGTTTTAGGAATTCTAGAGACAAGTCTTCTTCCGTTCTGTGGCGGTTTTCACTGTCTTCATGCTGTCCTTCATTGAAGGACAAAAATCTTGAGTCCAATTTTTTTTCTTTTGTCACATCCAAAGTTATTCAGAGATTTATATCTGTGTTCTATAAGTTTTATAATTTTAGCTTATCTATAATTTTAGTTTACCTGAATATATTTGATGCATTTGGAATTTGCACATGGGATAAGTGTTCAACCTCACTTTTTTTTTGTATGAGACTATCCCAGTCTCAGCACATAACTCGACAATGAATTCTTGCTAAATTGCTTAGCTGAAAACCACTTGAGCAAATGAAAATAATGCTGTACCACATGAGTGGGAATTGCGTTCATGGGCCAGGGATTTAGCTCAGCAGCACAGCACCTGCCTGGCAAGCGTGAGGTCGTGAGTTTGATTTCTGGTACCAAAAAAAAAAAAAAAGAATTGCATTCATTGCAATGCCGGGTTTTAATTTAGGAATTACCGGCATGCACCACCACACCCGGCTGTTTTCCATTTATTTAGTTCTTTTATCTCTCAATGATATTTTGTGATTTTTGCTATATGAGTCTTTTTCTCTTCTTTTTGTTTGAGATAATGTCTCACTATGCAGTGCAGGCTGGCCTTGAACTTGCTTATGTGGACCAGGCTGGCCTTAAACTCATGGCAATCCTCCTGCCTCAGCCTCCTGAGTGCTGAGATTATAGGCATGCAGCACCACACTCAGCTCAGTATATGAGTCTTGTTTGCTTTTTTTTCTTTTTTTAGTCCTAGAAATTCTTCCATGTACACTTGAGAAGGATATATATTCTAGACTTAAGTGGGTGTCTGTAAGGTATAGTTTGTTTATAATACTGTTCAAGTCTTCTCTTTCCTAATTGATTCTTTGCCTAGTTGTGCTATCCATTAATGAATAGTAGAGTATCACAATCCTGAGCTATTATTGTTGAATCATCTATTTTTCCCTCGTTCTTTTAATTTTATTTTTGTTTTTATTTTTGTGGTGCTGGGGTTGAACCTTGGGCCTTATGCATGCTAGGCAAGCACTCTACCACTGAGCTACATCCTCATCTCTCTGCTAATGTATAGATACAGTTGTTATGTCTTTCTGATCTATTAACCCTTTTATCATTATACTGTATCACTCTTTGGCCCTAATAATAATTTTTGTCTTAAAGTCTATTTTGTCTATTAGTATAGCTAATTAACTTCTGTTTGGGGTACTGTTTGAATAGTGAGTTTTTACTTTTCCTCTTATCCTATTTGTTCTTTGAAGCTAAAGTCTGTCTCTAATAAATAGCATATACTTAGATTGAGTGGGGAATAGCTCTGGGAATCAAACTCAGGGCCTTGTGCATGCTAGGTATACGCTCTACCACTGAGATACATCCTTAGCCCAGTTGGATCATTTTTTAATCTATTCTAAAAATTCTTACTTTTGATTAAAGTATTTAGCCCATTTACACTTAATATAATTATTGACAGCATAGGATTTACCTCTGTAATTTTGTTACTTGCTTTTGTGTGTCTTTTACCTGTCTCGTTTCTCTGTTTCTCAGTTATTTTTTCTTTTGTGTTATTTTCTGGTTTACTGTCTTTACTCTATTTTTTATTATATGTTTTGAAGTTTTTTAGTGGTTCTATAGATTACAATTAACATCATAATTTAAAAACAGTCTAGGGCTGGGGATATAGCTCAGCGGCACAAGTGCCTGCCTGGCAAGCGCAAGGTCCTCAGTTCAATTCCCAGTACCAAAGTAAATAAATAAATAAATACAATAAAAACAGTCTAGTTTAGGGCTAGGGGTATAGCTTAGTGATAGAAACATTTTTTCCAATGCCAGGCATGGTGGCACAAGCTTATAATTCCAGCACTTGGGAGGCTAAGGCAGGAAGAGCTCCAAAAACTTAAGGCCAGCCTGGGCTATACATAGTGAGTTTAAGGCCAGCCTAAACTATAAAGTGAAATTCTGTCTCAAAAAACAAAACAAAGCAAAACAAGCAAAAACATTGGCAGTATTGCTTTCCTTTTTGCTATTATTGGCATGCAAATTACATCTTTATACTACATTGTACACCAATCAATACAGTTTTTTTGCTTTATGTAGTTCTCTCCCTTTTTTTTTTTTTCCCGGTACTGGGAATCGAACTCATGGCGTTGCGCTTGCCAGGCAAGTGTTGTACCGCTGAGCTAAATCCCCAGCCCCTGCTTTATGTATTTCTCTTAAAAGAATTTACAAATAAAAATACATTTACATTTTTTATATTTGCCCACATATTTAGCATTGCTCTGTATTAAATAAGTACATATTTGGCTGTTATTCAGATTTTTAAAATATCAAGTTTATATCTGCTGTTTGTTCCAGATATTTTCCCCTGTCAGTAGTTTTTATACTGTAATTATGTAAAGTAATATGGCTTAGTGGGAAGACTAATGGGTTTTGATCAAAAGTCCTAGCATGTACTAATGGCTTTCAGTCCATTGACTGATTTCATAATCTGGACTAAGCCCTTTAGTTACTATCTGGGCTTCAATTTCCTTGGCTCAAAGGTGGAGAGAATAGCATCTGGCAGTGTATACCTGCCAATTTCAAATGTAGTACTTCCCCAACTGTAGGTCCTACTGCAGATTAGAGACCTTCCAATGTAATTCTGGTCTATAAGCTGACATACAGAGAAAAGGTCGAAGCTTTACAGTATTATCAAGAGAAAAGGTCGAAGCTTTACAGTATTATCAAGCTTTACAATAAAGAGAGAAATGTTCAAGAACAAATTTGAAAATATAAAAGCTACTTCAGATGGTCTGTTGCTATTTGTATTACGGTTTATACAAAATCCTTCATCTTGCAAATTGCTTTCTGGGTACATTTCTGTGAAAACAGATATAACTAAAAGAACCTACTCGTGATTGCTCTCAACAATATCATAAATAGCCATTTCTTGGGTACATTTATTTTAAAAGTACAGCTATAATCCACCATAGGGATGAGAAATACCTGATTCTCCAGAGTAGATTTATTTTATTTTATTTATTTATTTATTTTTGTCTTTTTGAGACAGGGTCTCCCTATGTAGTTCAGGCTGGCTTTGAGCTCACTTTGTAGCCCAGGCTGGTCTCGAACTGGCAACAATGATCCTCCTGCCTCAGCCTCCCAAGTGCTGAGATTACAGGTGTGAACCACCATGCCCAGCCAGAGTAGATTTAATATGTTGTCTTACTATCCCATTTTTCTGGGTTCAAGGTCAACACCTCCTGTCAGCTTTTTTTTTTTTTTTTTTTTTTGTCTTTTTGAGACAGGGTCTCATTATGCAGTTCAGGCTGGCCTTGAGCTCTCTTTGTAGCCCAGGCTGGCCTCAAATTCAGAGGGATCCTCCTGCCTCAGCCTCGCGAGTACTGCGATTACAGGCGTGAGCCACCAGGCTCAATGCTGTCAGCTTTTTAAAGGTAGAAATACTCAGCTTGGAAAAATGATTTTAACAAGTCAGATATTAGTTTTTAAGAGATAGAACTACTGTCCTTTAGAATATGCAACCTAAGGAGGATTGCTACAAGTTCGAGGCCATCCTGGGGTACAAGGTGAGTTCAAGGCCAGCCTGAATTACATAGCAAAACCCTATCTCAAAAAGATAAAAAAAAATAGACTATGCAGCCTAGTAATCTATAATGTCTGTTTAGACCATTTTCATTTGTCCCTTTTACAACAAAACAAAACAAAAATGGTAGCTGGGGGGCTGGGGATTTAGCTCAGCGGCACAGCACCTGCTAGGCAGGCGCAACATCGTGAGTTCTATTCCCAGTACCGGAATAAAACAACAACAACAAAAAATGGTAGCTGGGTATGGTGGCACACATCTTAATCTCAGCACTCTGGGTGGTTGAGACAATAGGACCACAAGTTCAAGCCCATCCTGGGCAACTTTGTCTCCAAATAAAGGACTAGGGATGGCACATGTCTGTAATCCCAGCACTGGGGAGGCTAAGGCAGGATTGCCATGAGTGTGAGGCCAGCCTGAACTACACAGCGGTACCCTGCCTCAACCAAAAAAAGGGGATAGGGCTCTTTTCAGTGCAAAGGCCATGAGTTAACTCCCCAGTACCCCCCAGAAACTGGTAAAATGAAATTGAAAATGTTTCTTGTATACTTAAGAGCTAAAGGTGACATTCTCCATCATACACATTTAAAGATTACATTTTAGCAGGAAAACCAGTTTTTCATAGAATAACAAGGTAGTTGTTGGTTATTCACTGTTCAGAAGACTTTTTTTATTTTATTGGTCCATTTTATATATACATAATAATAGCATTCATCATAGGGAGTTTGTACTTGTATATATTTTGCTAGTTCTTTCTTTCCCATTCCTCTTCCCTCCCTTTAACCCCTTTCCCCCTCTTTATTTACAAAAGCTTTGTTCCCATTTTTTCCCTTTATTATTTTTTTTCCTTGTCCCAGAAGGTAAGTTTTGGTCTTTTGCTCCTGTCCAGTCTGGAAATACCCTCAACTCAGGTGTTGTTGGTTAATGAGGTTCTGACCACCAAAATTCCTGAATATTAATAAACAAGCAAGTCGGAGAGATGACCTGGTAAGTATGTGACTGGTATGACTCAAATTTTCTGTGCAGTGATATTCTTTGTAAGGAATTCTCTTTGTCCTGCTCAGTCTTGAGGAAAGGTAGCTAGATGAACTATACTGTAATGTTTGTAGCCATTGCATTATTTTCCATGTGAGGCCTTGCCTACCGTGAGT